ATAACTTATAAATTTCACCTGATCATACATAATTTTGCTTTGTTTTTATAATAACTTAAAAATAGTTCTTTTTTTAGTGGGTAATTGAAAGGTGAGTTTCTTTTATGTAATTATTAGTAAATACAGGAGGATACCATTGCTTTTAGATAGTCAGCTTTTCACGCTTTTAATAGAGAAGTGGCCCTACTACTGAATCAACTAGTATAGTTGTTGAAAATTACTTATTCTCCCTTATAGTTGCTAATATGACACTTCTTATTTATTATTTTGAATGAGTCACTGTTTATATTCTTTGGTGTGAGTTGACTTTTAGCAAAGGCATAAGTGCTTAATGTGTTTAATAATGTATCAAACACTTTCATTTTCATTAATTCATTTAATCTTTACAGTAACTCCTTGAGTTAATAAGCAAGTCAACATCTGTTTTGTTTTTTGTTTGTGTGTGTGTTTGTTTTTACAGAAGGGGCTCAGTGATGTTATCTGTCTTGCTCAGGGTCAGAAAGTAAGTGGCAGGACTAGGATTCAAGCCTTGTTCACCTACCCTTATGTTCATTATGTTTTTCACTGTACTACACTGCCCTAAATCCATTAAAGGGGCTTTTTATTGAATTTGCCTTCCAACTATGAAGACTTAAGATATTTATGGATGTTTGCATTAATTGAAAACAGATACTTTCATTAAATGATTAATCTTATGAATCAAATGTAAACAAAGCAGTTTATGTATGTTTCTGTGTTCCTTAATTTGTTCAAAGTTTTATTGCTAGCCTTACTATATTTTGCCATAACAATTTCTACTCTGGATTTCTTTCTTTCTTTTTTTTTTTTTAAAGACAGAGTCTCGCTCTGTTGCCCAGGCTGGAGTGCAGTGGTGCAATCTCGGCTCATTGCAACCTCTGACTCCCGGGTTCAAGCGATTCTCGTGCCTCAGCCTCACAAATAGCTGAGACTGCAAGTGCCCACCCCCACACCCAGCTGCATTTCTAAAAATATTTGGCTTCAGAAGTTACGTACAATGATCTGTAATTTTAATACTTGCAAGTTTGATGTAAATGTCAAATTTTTGAAAATTGATTTTCATTAATCACCTCCCAGAGCTAGCTTCTAAGCCACATCAGCACACCAGATGTACCTCTGTGACATCAACTCTGATATCTACCATCTGATTCAATGATTCATTTATTAAATAATTGAATTAATGCAATATATTTAGTCATTATGCCCAGTGCTGAAGATACCATGATGAACAATAGCTGAGATTCTTCCTCTCAAGGAGCTTCCAACCTAGTAGGTTTTTTATAAATACCCAAGTGATAAAATCTGTGTATTTATACTATATACATATATATAAACATTCATTTTTTTTAGTACGGGATTGGGAAGTGGTTAGCTAGGTATAGTCAATGGAGTATAAAATTTAAGGATAACTTGTACCAATATAAGGAATTTATGTTATAAAGTTTACTGTTTTCATTTTTTCTTAGATGCATAGCTCTCTTAGGTCCCTTCGTAATAGTGCAGCTAAGAAAAGAGCAAAACTAAGTGGCAGTACTTCAGATCTTGAAAGCCCTGATTCTGCAGTGAAGCTCGACTTGACGATGGACTCCCCGTCTCGGTCTTCCTCACCAAACATCAGTTCTTACAGTGAAAGTGGAGTCTACAGCCAAGAATCATTGACTTCTTCTCTGTCTACAACTCCCCAGGGGAAGAGAATAATGTATTTTATTTTTTGACATGATAAATGAATGCTCCTCTGTAATTAGTGATTTAGAGCCCTAATATCATATTTGTAAAAACTTAAAACCATTTATGTTTTAGTTTTTAAATGTTAAAATATATTTAAAAGACATTGGAAATGTTTACAGATATTACCTTGTTTGGCTTTGGTTTCTGGTGTGAGTGGAAAGAGAACACAACCCCAACTGTAAACCAGAACACCTAAATTAGTATAAACCCTGTTCCTAAAGCCCTAGTTGTTCTCTCTAAGGTTTATCCTAACGTTTTTTGTCCTTTAGCTCTTTTCTGGATTATTGACTCTTTTGCCAATTGATCTATAGCTAATATTAATTACTGCTTTCATTTTAAGCTCAGTACCAGTTTCCTCTAATTTATGAATAAGTTTCACCCAGCTATTATTTTCTTATGTCTTATTTCCATTATCTTGTAGAAGCTCAGGATTTCATTTCATACCATAGCTCTCATAGCCTTGTTAGGAGTCTCCCTACAGCAATAGTGCTGGACTTAAAGTTCTGGCCACTCCCTGTCAATCGAAAATTGTTTTTCAGCATAGCAGTTGGACTAACTTTTTCAGATTACTTCTATTACCTCTAAGTCTTAAACCTTAACCTCACTTAACTGATAAGTGATCTCAAACTGCTTTCTGGGCATCTCTGTGACTCTACTGTAGGATTTTGGGAATCCCTTCCTCTTTTATTTTGGACAAAAACCTGGTAATAGAATTGATAGGGCACAGAGTAGATGTATATTTAACTTTTTAAGTAACTGCTAAACAGTTTTCCAAAATGATTGTGTAACTTTATACTCCTACCAGCTACGTGTGAGAGTTATACTTGTTTTACATTTTTGCTAATATTTGGTGTTGTCAGTCTTAAATTTTTTTCCTTTGTTTTCATCCTGAACCAGAAGTAAATATTTAAAATTAAAATTAATTTCACTTTAGTGAATTGGAATTTCTTTTTTTTTTTTTTTTTTTTGAGACGGAGTCTAGCTCTGTCGCCCAGGCTGGAGTGCAGTGGCCGGATCTCAGCTCACTGCAAGCTCCGCCTCTCGGGTTCACGCCATTCTCCTGCCTCAGCCTCCCGAGTAGCTGGGACTACAGGCGCCCGCCACCTCGCCCGGCTAGTTTTTTTGTATTTTTTAGTAGAGACGGGGTTTCACCGTGTTAGCCAGGATGATCTCGATCTCCTGACCTCGTGATCCGCCCGTCTCGGCCTCTCAAAGTGCTGGGATTACAGGCTTGAGCCACCGCGCCCGGCTGTGAATTGGAATTTCTAAGAAATATAGGTAAATAGAGATTGCATAATCAAAGGAGAGGTAGTGTTCTAAAGAGATCATAATGTTTTATTCCAGCAGTTCATAGAATTAAACTGAATTCTTGTGTTCCATTCTTAGAAGTTTGTCTCAGCCCATTATTTTTTCCTATACATTTTTAACTTAAATAGCAGTTTGTTTTGTACTTGGAAATTTTATCGTCCAACAGTCCTTTGTTGTAATTACCTAGGTAGAATAATACATATATTGACAAAATGAATTTGGAATAACAGCATGGTCTGGTATATTAAGTTATAAAACAAAATATATTTTTAGCTTTTAGAGCTAAAGTCCTTTTATGATCTTCCATGAAGATGAAAATTTATGTTATATAATCCTACAGTTGCAAGGTTGTGTAAATTGAAACCTACTTAAGAAGAAAAGTTCATTTTATATGATTTGAATATATGATGTCCTATATTTTCTCACTGAGTTATCTTCTTCAGATACTGAATTCTGTGAGAAGGTAGTTCAGCACACCCTCGTTTATGGACTGAATTGTCTTTAACAAATTTAAGATTTCCACATTTAAGATTAGTGGCTTTAGAACAATTGTACTTATCCAGCTTACATCCTGCCTTAAGATTCATGGCCAAAGAAAGCCACTACTACCTGATTTACACAATTTGTCCTTAGGTGTGTTGGGGAGGAAAAATTGTTGAAAACCACTCTCCTAGAGACTGAAATTTCTTCTTTCATCCAAGTCAACTACACTTAATATAAATGTAGATTTATAGTAATCTATTCTAGAGAAATTGCTCTTTCAAAATATTTAACAACGATTTTTCACTAGGTCCACTCACAAATATATTTCTATCTATTTACTAAGAATTGTACTTCTTTGTAAAATCTCTTCTTTTTAATATTCATTACTAACTTATTGACATTGTAACACTTACTGATTTAAAACAGTTCCCTTAAACTCAGATTTAACAGTCTTCAGTTGGCTTTCTTAATGAAACAAGGCCTATAGGTCTTTATAATGTCAGGAAAGTACAGCAAAGAATAGCTTAAGAAGAAAGTGGCATTTGCCAAACTCACTCGTTGCTGATCTCTTATTTATAATACAGCCAAGTCTCTATTAATTTATGTTATCCTATATGAGGATAGATAGTAGTTATTAGATAATTAAGAATGATTTGATTTGTTATTTTTATTTATTTATTTATTTTTGAGACAGGGTCTCACTGTGTCACCTAGGCTGGAGGGTAGTAGGTCAGTCTCAGCTCACTGCAACCCCTGCCTCCTGGACTCAGGTGATCCTCGGCCTCTGTAATAGCTGGGACTACAGGTGTGCACCACCATGCCTGGTTAATTTTTTAGTTTTTTTGTAGAGATGGAATTTTGCCATGGTGCGCAGGCTGGCCTCAAACTTCCTGGGCTCAAGTGATCATCCTGCCTTGGCCTCCCAAAATGCTAGGATTACAGGCATGAGCCACCACACTTGGCCTTGATTTGGTTTTAGAATGGATTCTTGGATCAGTTTTTTTTTTTTTTTCCTTAGGGATTATATAGTATAAGTCAGAGAGTCATTTTCTGTGGCAGTCCTCTCATGAGTAATTAAGAATTGACCATATGTTAAAAAGGTTGGCAGTCCAAAAGATGAATTAAGAATAATATATATAAACATGTATGTGTGTGTGTATATATACTGTTAGCCATATTTTTTCAAGTGTCATACTTATTGCTCCATTATTATCTAAAAGTTCTGTGAGTTAATAAGGAGAATAGAGAATATGTGATGTGAGTGTTGAACAGCACTAAATCTTAATGTTTATTGAAATTACTTTGTTTCATTGTAGGTCAGACATATTTCCAACATTTGGGTCAAAACCTTTTCCAACAAGACTTTCTTCTGCGAAGAAAAAAATTTCTCATATTGCTGAACAAAGCCCCAGTGCAGGTATTCTATGTCTGTTTATAAACATAATTTATAAAAAGTATGATTTTCAAATGATGTAAAAAATGATAGCAAGTGCATTTCAGATTTCATGTTGTTGCGGATACCAGTTAAGACTGATCTTTTTTTTTTTTACTCCTTAAAAGATCCTTTTGACAAGAATATGATATTGTTTTGGAAGAAAAAAATATTTATTTACCTGAATCACTGATCTCTTTTAAAGCTCATTGGCATACCTATGGCTGGCTCCTACCCCCAGATTTTTTATGTAGTTGGTGTGGAGTGTTACTTAGTTGGTGTTAGCTGTCAGAGTTTTGAAAACTCCTCAGATGATTCTAATGTGCAGCATAGTTTGGGAACCACTGGACATCCCGAAAGAGAATTTTCTTTAAAAACAATATTTAACTATTAGCAGTAGTTAAATTCATGTGTATCTTGTGTTAAAAATTTTTGTGAACTAAGCCTGTAAGTCTCTAGTTTTATAACATCACTTCTCAGAAAATAGATTTAGTAATTAGTCAATTAGAAAAAGATTTGCACTATGATCTATTTAGGGTGAGAACTGCATGTGATTCTTAGGATTAGTGAAACTACATTGAATTGTGAATAAATTGTAACAAATTGGGATATGATGTTAAGTTTCACGTGATCTAATGTAAAAGTCCTAACAACTTTAAGGCTGCTTTACATTATAATTACCTTCCTAAAAAACTGTATATGTATTTGATTATTTGCTAAGATTTTAAATTTCTTGCTCTTAAATGTGTCTTAATCTCAACCCCTCTTTTTAATCCCCACTACCATGGCTTTAGTACACACTTTTCCTTATTTATTACTTACTTAGCCTCCTAAGTTTTCTCCCAGCTTCGATTTCACTCACTTTGACACTGTTCCCCACAGTGCAAATCTGACTATATTGGCCAGCCTGAGTTCATTCTGGACATCCTTTCATGATCTGGTCCCTGCCTACCTCTCCAGCCTCATTTTTCACTGCCCTCTTTGTATCTTGTATTTTCCCTGTTTGTGTCCAGCTGAATCAGACCACCATCAGTACAATTTCCTATCTCTTTGCAATTGCACATACTGTTTTTTCTGGATGAAATCTAGAATCCATACCATACCCTATTTAGCTGTGACAACAGCTCAGTTTCTCTGGGAAACTTTCCCTAATTCACAAACAAAATTATTACCTCTTTTGTTATACCATTACGTCTTGCACTGACACCTTTTTTAATGATACTACCATTGCTTTACTTTTCTTCAACTCTCAGATTCTTGATCCTCGAAGATTATTTCCCACTGATTACCTACCAAGGCTTATCATAATTGGGAATGTGTGACTTAACCAGGTGTGTTTCGTATACTGGCTTGCATAAAACTAGCGTTAACAAAGAGATAGCTGTACTTCTACGCATGCAAAGACAGTATATACGTGCTTTGGAGTCCAAAAGATGAGCTGACACCCTAGTTTGATGTTTAATAATAGTATTCATACCTTACACAAGTTACTTAACTGCTTTGGAACTTCGTTCCCTCATCTAACAACATAAACCTTGAGAAGGGTAGTGAAAATCTAAGTTCGTGACATATATAAAGCAGCTAGTGCATAGTAGGCACTCAATATGTATTTGTCCTCTAAGGGGAGAGAGTGACCCAAAGAAATACATAAACTTATCCTTAATCCTTTTTCAGGCTGAACTTCCTAATCTATAATTTTTCAAGTATTTCTATAAAATCGAGGAGATATCTGATTTTTAGGTCATATCTACTTTGTAAAAATGGAACCCACTTTTGGAAGAATATCTTTGGAAATGGAAAATAATAGATTTTTAAAACCTGGATTTGAGTTCCCTTGTGACCCTAGTCGTGTGACCTTGGGAGTCATTTAAGTTTTAGCAGTGTGATTGATCTCGTAATAGTATAATACATACTTATATATGCAATATTTAGTGTTTTCCAAAGTTGTCTAATCTTTTTTTTTTTGAGTTGGAGTCTCCCTCTGTCACAGAGGCTAGAGTACAGTGGCGTAATCTCGGCTCATTGCAAGCTCTGCCTCCCGGATTCACGCCATTCTCCTTCCTCAGCCTGCCAAGTAGCTGGGACTAGGTGCCTGCCACCACGCCTGGCTAATTTTTTGTATTTTTCGTAGAGACAGGGTTTCACCGTGTTAGCCAGAATGGTCGTGATCCGCTGGGCTCAGCCTCCCAAGAAAGTTTCCTAATTTTAGGAATCACCCTTGAGTGCATGTAACATCTGTTGACTCTGGGGCGTCATCTTATGCCTCATGAATTCATCTTTCTGGTTAGAAATCTGTGTTTTTAACAAGTAAATTAGGTATTTCTAGGATCAAGTTATAGAAATACTACTGTTATTGAATTCACTATATTAAATTTAACCTTTCTCAAAATAAGTTGCTAATATTTTGGATTTTATGTATTTGGGTTTGCTTTGCTTTCAGTAAATAAGTGATTCCCACAAATTTATTGTGGTTTAGTTGGTAAAACATAAAAATGATAATGCTCAGAATAAAGACTATTGGACAATAAACACAAAAATAACAATTATTTTAAAATTCCACCTATAGTCTGCCACTACCTATTAAAGCACATTGTGGTAAATTTTCTGAATGATGTTATAATAAACTTCTTCTAGTGTATTAAATTAGTTTTGCCTATTAATAGAAAACATTTCCACCCAAAGCCAGTATGTTTATGGGTCTTTTTTTATGAATTAACTGTCAAGACTAAGAATTTATAAAGATATGTGTGTTACTTCCACAAATTGTCTATGATTTAATATCAGATATTCTTGAAACTTTTATCTATGAACTTACTTAGTGCCCTTTATTCTACAGTCCTTTCTAGCCCCGTTTCCCTAGCTACCTCCTCTTCCCACCTTCCTGTTTTTATTCAAATACAACATTATTTTTTAAAAGTATATTTCACTGGGCACAGTGGCTCACACCTCTAATCCCAGCACTTTGGGAGGCTGAGGCACGTCAATCACTTGAGCCCGAGAGTTTGGGACCAGCCTGGGCAACATAGCAAAACCCCATCTCTATCAAGAAAATTAAAAAATAGCTGGGAATAGTGGTGTGCGCCTGTAGTCCCAGCTATTCAGGAGGCTGAGGCAGGAGAATTGCTTGAGCCCAGGAGGTTGAGGCTGCAGAGAGCCAAGACAGCGCCACTGTACTCCAGCCTGGATGACAGAGCAAGAGCCTGTCTCAAAAAAAAAAAAAAAAAAAATTATATATATATATACACACACACACACACACACACACATACACACACACATCATTATTAATGGTTTACATTGGAGCTACATATAAAAATGGACAATGACTCAAATATATAATGCCTAGGATTTTGCATTTAGTATATGTTTTATGGTTGTAATCGCTGCAGAGTATTCATAAAGAGTGATTAGTTTAAACATTCAAATGTAAATTAAAATTTTTGTTATTCAGTAGAAGGAGGCCTACATTAAGGTTTTGCTTTTTTTTTTTTTTTTTTTAATTACAGATATAATAACATTTGGGTACTTAAAATGTGTTAGGCACTGTGCTGAACCCTTTACATGTATTTTCTTCATTTCATCCTAACAACAGTTGTAGAAGTGGTACTGTTGTCTCTGTTTCACAAGTAAGGTTAAGTGACTTGTCCAAGTCTTCTCAGCAGTTTGAGTCGCAGTGCTATAATTTAAAGCCAGGAAACATGATTCCAGATACTGAGCTCTGTATCCCTATGTAGTTTACTGTCTCATCAGTGAAGCCAGTATAGAAGGTTAAATTTCATGGTGACTTACCTTTTAAGATTGAATATCTCTAAATCAGAATCTTCCCTAAGCATACCAATAAAGAAAAATTACCGAGTCTTCTCAGTTTTCAGATTTTTCATTTTTCATGGGAATAGGAGAAAAGAGAGAAATGAAATAGGTAGCTCTTAGGTCACATTTTTTAAATTCTGGATTAAAAAAAATTTGTTTTTAGTGTAAAGTTAAAGGTGCCCATTAAAAAAAAAATACTTGTCAGACCAGGCACAGTGGCTCACACCTATAATTCTAGGACTTTAGTAGGCTGAGATGGGCTGATCACTTGAGCTCAGGAGTTCGAGACCGGTCTGAGCAACATGGCAAGACCGTATGTCTACAAAAAATACAAAAATAAGTTGGAGGTGGTGGCATGCACCTTTGGTCCCAGCTACTAGGGAGGCAGAGGTAGGAGGATTGCTTGAGCCTGGGAGGCAGAGGTTACAATGATCTGGGATTTTGCCACTGCACTCCAGCCCAGGGAGACCTTGTCTTAAAAGAAAAAAGAAGCCGGGTGCTGTGGCTTACGCCTATAATCCTGGCACTTTGGGAGGCCAAGGCGGATGGATCACAAGGTCAGGAGTTCGAGACCAACCTGACCAACATAGTGAAACACCATGCTGGGATTACAGGCGTGAGCCACTGCGCCCGGCCTACACCAGTGAATTTTTTAATTTTAATTTTTGATGGAGGCAGGGGCTTGCTTTGTTGTCCAGTCTGGCCTTGAACTCCTGGGCTCAAAGAATTCTTATGCCTCAGCCTCCTAAAGTGCTGGGATTACAGATGTGATTCACCATACCTGGCCTAATTATAATTTTAAAGCCTATTTTATGAAATGTTGTAGTATAGTGTATAATAAATGTTCTTAGCTGCTAAGAACAAGGACAGGGAAAAGTATTATATAATTTAAAATAGGATAAAACTTCAAAAAGTACTATAATGTTATAGTTCCTAATATTATGTTACTTATCTTTTTAAAAGGTTAGAAGTTGAGATAAGTTTGGGGGGAGATATGTACTTATGTGTAATATTACTGGAATCATTCAAATATTTTAAAGGGTTTACAACATCCAGTGTAAGCATAATTGGTCAACACATGAACTATAGGTTTGGGTGGTGATTCTGAAGA